AAGGCCGAGGCTGCGGCTTTGAACCGCCAGAGCAAGACGAACGGAACGAACGGCTCTGCAGACGGCGAAGACCAGGAACTCTTCTATCTCGACATCGAACTGCCCCGTTTCGACCACGCCATCGTCTTCTCCGACGTCGAATACCCACCGCCCCCCGTATCAGACTTGCGATTGCCAGCCGAAGCCGATGTGAGGCTGCGTCCTCCACCCGAAGTGTCATTTGGACCAGGTATCGACATCGACGGTATTGGATACGGCGATGCGGATGCAGGACGGCTCATCAAGATCTACGACCCTGAAGTCGGCCGACGAGTGAACCCTGCCGAAGACAAGCATCGCGAGTTGATGCGCAGCCAGCAGACCGATTCACTCGACCGCGACCGCAAGCCCAACGTACACGTTCGAGATAAGCTCAACCTGCTGCTCTCTAAGGGGCCGCTCGAGGAGATCACATCACACGAACGAGACGATATTTGGAAGTTCAGATACTTCTTGCTACGCGACAAGCGGGCCTTGACCAAGTTCGTCAAGTGCGTGAACTGGAAGAACCCGCGAGAAGCCCGGCAAGCTGCACCCTTGCTCGATAAGTGGGCAGAAATAGATGTCGACGACGCGCTCGAACTCCTTGGACCCCACTTCGACCACCCCGTAGTACGAAGCTACGCTGTCGAGCGCTTGAAGAAAGCCGACGACGAAGAGCTCCAGCTCTACCTTCTACAACTGGTGCAAGCACTCAAGTATGAAGCACCAGGCGAAGGTGATGATTCGTCGCTAGCGCGTTTTCTGGTTACTCGCGCAGCCAACAGCTTCACATTGGGCAACTTCCTACATTGGTATCTCATGGTGGAGATCAGCGACTTCAGCACCGACCAGGAGCCAGAACATCGTGAACTCTTCGCCAAGGTCGAATACGACTTCATGGTCGAGCTGGAGAAGACGCCTGAAGGTGTCGAAACCCGCAAGACCTTCCAGCGTCAGGGCGAGCTGCTCACCATCTTGGCCAAAATATCGAAAGATGTGCGCTTCGGTGGAGGGGATCGGCCTACCAAGCTTGCCCGTCTCAAGAAGGCGATTGCTGACCCGAAGAACGAACTCACCAATTTCGACCCACTTCCTCTGCCCCTCGATCCATCTGTGTACATCACCGGGATATCAACGGAAGACTGCAATGTTCTAAAATCATCTTTGCTACCTATGGTGCTATCCTTCAAGACCACAACGTCGAATCCATATCCAATCATATTCAAGACTGGCGATGACCTACGGCAGGATCAACTCGTCATTCAAATCATCACATTGATGGATCGACTTCTTCGCAAAGAGAATCTGGATCTCAAGCTAACACCCTACCGTATTCTCGCTACTTCCACCTCCGCTGGCGCCTTCCAGTTCGTGCCTTCGATGAGCATTGCAGCAGCGTGCCAGAAGCACAAGGGCTCCCTACTGGCCTACCTGCGCGCTAATAACCCTGACGATAGCGCACCACTCGGCGTTCGGAAGGAGGCAATGGACACTTACATCAAGTCCTGCGCTGGCTACTGTGTAATAACCTACCTTCTAGGTGTTGGCGATCGCCATCTCGACAACCTCCTGCTTGCCCCATCGGGTGCCTTCTTCCACGTAGACTTTGGATACATTCTGGGAAGAGACCCAAAGCCTTTTGCACCAGCTATGAAGCTTTGTCGCGAGATGATTGAAGGCATGGGCGGAGTGCAGCACCCAAACTATCTTGTCTTCAAAGAGTACTCCTACACAGCATGGTCTACCTTGCGCAAGTCCTCGAACCTCATACTCAACCTTTTTGCTCTCATGCAAGGAGCCAACATCCCCGATATCAAGGTAGAGAGGGAAGGTAGCGTAAGAAAGGTTCAAGAGCGTATGTGGCTAGGAAAGGGTGTTGGTGGTGCCAAGGGTGAAGACGAGGCAGCGAGAGAATGGGAAGGGCTCGTCGAGGAATCATTGGGTGATTGGAAGGCGGGGGTCATTGACTGGGCACATGAGTTTGTCCAGACCTATTGGCGGAAGTAAAATCAGACTACGATTCAGTACGATAGGTGGAGCTGTCGGCATAGTGTAGGAATCCATGCACATGCCGTTGTTCATTAATGAGGCGTTCCCCATGCCAAGGCCAACCCCGCCAGATCGACGTGTCCAGGACTAGCACGCGGCGCGTATCCCGGTGGAGACTCCGATGGAGAAGCCCCTCTCCACACACTTGGGAGGTTGTATGACTTCACTCACGAAACGCGCCACCGGGGAAATGCAAACGGCGGGTTTCCCAATCGCGAGTACCCGTAGCATCGGTAAGCGTACGTGGAGCTGCTACAATGTAAAAGACGTGTCTATGCCCCTCCATGTCTGGGGCAGCTACACGTATCCGTAAGCTTTGCACGGCTACTCCGATAACTACATCATGTTCACATCGAAGGATAACCGCCTTGTTTTCACATACGATGCCGAGCAGCTATGGATCGAGCCCTGGGGCAAGAACGCAGTCCGCGTTCGTTCCACCAAGATGCCCACCATGCCACAGGAAGACTGGGCGCTCCTTCCACAACCCAAGGTTTCTGCCAACATCGAAATTGCCAACAGCGACGAGTCAGCAACCCTGACCAATGGCCTCGTCAAAGCCACCATCAGCAAGCGAGGCAAGATCACGATCTCAAACACCAGCGGTAAAGTTCTCTTGGAAGAATACGCCCGTAACCGCCGCGATATTGTCGACCCCAAATGCAGCGCGCTGGAAGTCGAAGCCCGGGAATTTTATCCTATTCATGGAGGCGACTACAAGCTTACCGCTCGATTCGAGAGTCTGGATCCCAAGGAGAAGATCTATGGAATGGGACAGTATCAGCAACCTTACCTTGATATCAAGGGCACGCAACTGGAACTTGCGCACCGGAACTCCCAGGCCAGCGTACCCTTTGCGGTCTCATCGCTTGGGTATGGCTTCTTGTGGAATAACCCGTCGATTGGCAATGTGGTGTTTGGCAAGAACATCATGAGTTTCGAGGCGCTGTCGACCAAAGTCTTGGATTACTGGGTTGTAGCTGGCGATACACCAGCGCAGATTGTCGAGTCGTATGCCGATGCCACTGGGAAGGTAAGTCCCAATGTTCACGCCATGAGGTGAGTAAAAAGCTAAAAACATGTTATTTCAGGTACCAATGATGCCAGAATACGGTCTAGGCTTCTGGCAATGCAAGCTGCGCTACCAGACCCAAGAAGAACTTCTTCAAGTCGCACGCGAGTACCGAAAAAGGAATCTCCCTATTGATCTCATTGTAATCGACTTCTTCCACTGGACCATGCAAGGAGACTGGAAGTTCGATCCAAAGTATTGGCCCGATCCCGATGCCATGGTCAAAGAACTCGAAGAGCTGAAGATCGAGCTCATGATATCTATCTGGCCAACTGTAGACCGTCGATCAGAAAACTACGAGGAAATGGTCGAGAAGGGTCTGCTCATCCGGACTGAGCGTGGTGTACGAACGGCCATGACGTTCCAAGGCCAAACGATTCATTTTGATTCAACGAACCCTGCTGCGCGGGACTACGTGTGGAACAAAGCGAAGCAGAACTACTACAAGAAAGGCATTAAAGTATTCTGGCTGGATGAAGCAGAGCCAGAGTACCGACACTACGACTTCGACAACTACCGCTACCACCTCGGCCCCAACGTACAAATCGGCAACATCTATCCCCGAGAATACTCGCGCGCATTCTACGAAGGCATGGAGGCAGAAGGCCAAAAGAACATCGTCAACCTAGTCCGCTGCGCATGGGCCGGCAGCCAACGCTACGGCGCTCTCGTATGGAGCGGCGACATCTCCTCCTCCTGGGGCACATTCCGTAACCAACTCGCCGCAGGCCTCAACATGGGTCTCTCGGGTCTACCCTGGTGGACAACCGACATAGGAGGTTTCCACGGCGGCAATCCCGACGACGAAGCGTTCCGCGAACTCTTCGTCCGCTGGTTCCAATGGGGCACCTTTTGCCCTGTCATGCGCCTACACGGCGACCGCGAGCCACGCCAACCCAAGACCGCAGACAGCCCATCCTGCCGCAGTGGCGCAGACAACGAAGTCTGGTCGTACGGCCCCGCTGTCTACGAGATCTGCAAGAAGTACATGGGTATCCGCGAGGATCTACGTGAGTACACGAGGAAGCTTATGGAGGAGGCGCATCAGAAGGGCTCGCCGGTTATGAGGGCGCTGTTCTATGAGTTCCCGCAGGATAGCAGGTCTTGGGAGGTGGAAGAGCAGTATATGTACGGAGACAAGTATTTGATCTGTCCGGTGCTGGCGAAGGGCCAGACGAAGACGAAGGTTTATCTTCCGCCATTGGAGGGCGGCAAGAAGTGGAAGAGCTTTTGGGGTGGGGAGACGTGGGATGGTGGGAAGGATGTTGAGGTTGAGAGTCCGTTGGAGGTTATGCCGGTGTTCGAGCGCGTATAGGATGATGTCGACAGACTCTGAATGAACAATCTAGTCCTCTATTTAGGGCTTACTTGACTCCAGCGCGCATCCTCTTCTTCGTTGAGTAATCGTTGCCATGCCGAAGGTGACCTTGATGTTTGCAGCCCGTGCGAGCCCCACCCTTCCAAGCTCGTGGTTACTTCCCAGTTATGAGGCACGCCATCCATGAATCCTCCGCCTGCCACTAGATCCCATCGCTCCTGCCCCCGCATGCATCTTGGCTGGGTGACCATAATGACTGGGATGCCTTGTCCTTTGTCTGACCTCGAGTTCGAGCTGCCTGGGCATATATTGACGCTCTCTCCGCACGATACCTGCTTCGACCTTTCCAGACGATGACATCTCCCGGAGCACAGGAACGGTCGAATGCAGTGTGTTCAATATGCGGTCGCGGCTTCGGGAAGCAAGAGCACCTCGTACGACACATGAGGATCCACACGCGCGAACGGCCGTACCCCTGCCCTTCCTGCCACAAGTCTTTCTCACGCCGTGATGTCCTCACCCGTCACATCGCAGCGCACAATGACCACAGCGACGTTACGACTCAGCTTCCCGCATCGCGCGCGTGCTTTCGATGCGCTTCAGATCGCGTCAAATGTTCGCGCGGTCCAAAATGTTCCAGGTGCTTGCAACGTGGCTATAGCTGCCAGTATCCGGCACTCCGTAGCGCGCGAGGCAGAACGGCGGATGCTGGCGCGGATGAGTCCACAGACGCCTTCAGTACTGGGAATCTGCATCCGAACAATGTCAATCGAGACAGCAATGGCGAGTTCAGAACAGCGGACTTCAACGATGCAATAGGACAGTCCTCTGTCAATGCATGGGCGTGGAATAGCAACGTCGACAACAACTTGCTCGCTTCTGACCCATTCGACATGCCTGGACTGAGTCTGTCAGACGTGAACTGGTTATCGCCCCAATACTCAGGCCCCATTGACCTGGATGCGCTACTCGCAAACTTCGGAGGCCAAGCTAATGGCACCGTGGAGCAATGGACTTGTTCCATCGCGCCAACAACACCCTCAATACCTGCGATCACCACAACATCACACTCATCAGATCCAAATAGGACCATACCTGATACAGACCAGCAATCAAAGGATACTGCCTCCGTAATATCTACATCGACGTCGGAAAACAGATACTACGTCGATGGGGCAGGTGCCAGAGCCCCGTTCGGTGGCAGATCGCAACACTCGATTTGCTCAGAAGAAACCATCGACTTGCAAGATGCGGAAGATAATGATGCTTCTGCATCGCTTGATACCTCTGACGAAGACAAATTATGTCCACCAGCAGCCTATCAATCTCTGCTGGAAGGCATTGCTGCTGAAAGCCGCGATAGCCCAGTCGATTTGAGCGCTTCGAACTTTCCCACATATGAGCAAGTCGTAATCTCTGTTCGCCAGTACTTTGACCATTTCCACCCAGTCTTCCCCTTCCTGCGGCCGTCTTCCTTCGCCCAAGATGCTTCTAGGAGCTGGCTCCTGCTAATCGCCGTTTTTGTTATCGGCTCAAAGTACTCACGGCTATCGCAGAATTCCCAAACAAGCGAATCTCTATTTGGTCTGCTGAGTACTATTCTCACCCGAAGCAAGTATGGACTAGACCCGCAAGGTTCGGCAGGTAACGATGACGTCGATTACAGCCCGAGCTGTTCCCAGTTCGTTGCCCGCCCAGATCTACGGATTCTACAAGCTGGCATCCTGAATATCGCTTGCATGCTGCATTCGGGTAGGAAAATTCTGGTAGAACGTGCCCATGTAGAACGACACTATCTAGTAGAGGGCTGCCACACACTCCGTCTACTTGTTCAGACGAAGAAGTCTTACGATCTGACGAGGACGGCTGATCCTGAACAAAACCCGGACTTTCGTGAATGGCTGTCGAGAGAGGCAATGGTTCGTACTGGGATGATGGTTTGGGTAATTTATTCTTATTGTTATAGAAAGACGCGTAGCTAACTGCAGCAGACACTCGATACGATGTTCGTGTATCAGTTTCAGGCCAAGCCCCTCATCCAGTTAGACGATATTGACGTATTGTTGCCATGTCACGAGGATGTATGGGACCGACCAGGCTTAATTGGACAGAACCAAAGGCGTCTCACAAGTGTTACCTTTATGGAAGCACTAGAGATGATCTACGTGGAAAAGCGACTACCCGTCGATCTAGGAGAGTTCAGCATGGGCTTACTTGTTAGTGCCATCTATCGCCATACCCGGGATGTTGTGGCCCGAGATCGCATTCGTCTCAACTCGTGGACACCAACATCTACGCCACAGCGACGTAGCGATATGCCACCACCCATACAACAAGACTGGTCGCCGACAACGCGATCTTCCATCAAATGGCGTAACAGCGCCTGTGATAGCTTGGATGTCCTGCATTGGCCTGCGAATAGTAAGGTCGCACGCCACTCGGGCTTCGAGCACCACACTATCCTCCAGCTGCATCTAGCTCGCCTGATCATACTTGCGCCCACTAGCGCCATACAGCGGTTCGCATCGGGATCTGCATTCAACGAAGCCGCGCTAGTCGATGCGGAAGACCGACAGTCATTCGCAACGGCACGAATTCAGGTCCTACAATGGGTGGTTCGAGATCACTGCAAAGCTAGACTGTGTCTGGTGCACTGTGGGGCCCTTTTCTGGCACGTCCGCAGGTACAGTTGTAGTAGCCTGTTCGAGCCATATGCGATTTATATTGCGACACTCATACTCTGGGCCTTCTGCGTCTGCATGCATCTTCCCGAAGCCGTTGAAGCCATTGGTTCTGAGTCAGATGAGGAACCGGAACCATCGTTCCTCCATCTTGACCGGCCATTGGACGATGAGCTAGTACAGACGTATGTGCGTATGGGGCATAAGATGTCCGCATACATTGCCAATGTCGGCAGTCTAGAGCATGATGCAGCTCCGGTGCGGATTGCGAAAGAAGGGATCTCAATTCTAGCCAAAAGCTCTGGAATTTCATCATGTCCAGACGCCAATTCACCGTCTTCTGCGCAAGACGCGGGTCACACATGGGGCATCGAACGGTCTTATATAAACCTGCTTCGACTTCTTACGAAAGAGCGATAATATGAATATCATGCAGTCCGTATCATGCAACGTCCCGACCTTAAGCTTTCACCACATCTCATCTCATCGGAAGAGTAGATCCTGGAAACAGGTTCCCTACAGCTTCCGCTTAGCGTGTCACCCGCCCTCACAATACCTCGGTCATGCCAGCAAGCCCACGATCACGGTAGTACCATAACTGGCAACGGCCAGGTTCTCGTATTCTTCGGCACAATAGACGCCGGAGCCTCACGGCGCTTCTCCATCGGGGGCCTTAGTGAAGGATCCACGCTACCGGTAGAGTGGTCACGCCCCACACGCGTCTTCCTGGAAAATGCCGCGTCTAGGAACATCTCCACCGGAGTTTGGCCTTCGCAGGATCAGGCCAAGCCTGACATGCACCCCATGGGGTAGTTGGGTTCCGGTGGAGAAAACCTGGGGTAGCAGCCATGTTCCATGCATGGATGATTGAGCGGCTTGGTGCAGGATGACCGACTATGTATATACCGTGGCCATGTCCGTAGATCCACATACTTCACCACAACCACCAGTTCCTGAGATCTATATCTGGACTCTTTGGTCCGCTGTTTTCTTTTTGCTTCTACATACCTGGTGCACGCACCGATCCAATCCGATCCATCATGGCAGACATGGACGAAAAGGCCGCGACCATGGAACACCATGAGATTACCTTCGACCAGGCCAAAGCGGCTGCCGACGAGGAGCACGAGATGACGTTGATGCAAGCCATGCGCAAATACCCCAAAGCCGTGCTCTGGTCGGTGTTGCTATCCACCTGCATCATCATGGAAGGATACGACATCGTCTTGATGAGCTCCTTTTTCGCACAGCCGTCCTTCTCGCGCAAATACGGAGAGTTCAACCAAGGCACTGGGACGTACGAGATAACGGCATCGTGGCAGAACGGACTCAGCAATGCTGTGAGCGTGGGCACTATCATCGGCGCGTTTGCGAATGGGTACTTTATTCATCGATTCGGTTACCGTCCCGTCTTACTGGTATCGCTTGCCTCAATCTGCACGCTGATCTTCATCTCTTTCTTCGCACCTAACGCCCCCGTCCTCCTCGTCGGTCAGTTCCTCTGCGGTATACCCTGGGGTGTCTTTGCGACAATGGCGCCTGCCTACGCCAGTGAGGTGTGTCCGCTAGCTCTACGAGGATACCTCACCGTATACGTCAACCTTTGTTGGGCATTTGGACAACTCATCTCCGCTGGAGTGCAGTCGGCATTCTCAGGCAACAACACACAATGGGCATACCGGATACCCTTTGCCATCCAATGGGCATGGCCTATCCCACTCTTTGCAATCCTCTGGATGGCACCCGAGTCCCCATGGTACCACGTTCGTACCGGCAACCTCGAACTGGCCGAGCAGATGCTTATCCGTCTTGGGTCTGTCTCCCAACGTGATATGGCTAAGCAAAAGGTTGCGATGATGGTTCGAACAAATGAATTGGAGAAGTCACTTGAGGAAAACACTTCCTACCTTCAATGCTTCAAGGGCATCGACCGCCGCCGCACAGAAATCGCATGCATGGTCTTCGCAGCCCAACCCATCTGTGGCTCCGTCATGGGCGGCACACCCACGTATTTCTTCGTTCAAGCAGGCGTCTCAACCTCAATCTCCTTCAAGATGTCCGTCGGCGGTCTCGGCATGGCATCAGTCGGCACACTAATCTCCTGGGTCCTCATGAGCTACATCGGCCGTCGAAAGCTTTACCTCTGGGGCCTCGGTGGTCTAGCAGCCATCCTATTCATCGTCGGATTCATCAGCGTAGGCGCCGGCGACTCGTCCGGTGGTAACTACGCCCAAGCTGCTATGATGATCATCTGGCTCTTCTGGTACTACATGACCGTCGGACCCATCTGCTATGCCATTGTCGGAGAAGTCTCATCCACGCGTCTTCGCAGCAAGAGTGTATGTCTGGCTCGCATCAGCTACTACATTGCGCAGATTCTCACCAACGTTATCAACCCGTATATGTTGAACCCCACTGCGGGTGATTGGAAGGGCAAGACGGGCTTCTTCTGGGGTGGAGGCGCGTTGATCTTTTTCGTTTGGACGTTTTTCCGTCTTCCGGAGACGAAGGGAAGAACGTATGAGGAGTTGGATATCATGTTTGCGGAGGGACTGCCTGCGAGGGCGTTTGCGAAACATAGTATTGATGCTTATGCGTATGCGCATGGGGATGAGGGTGATCGTAAGGTCAAGGCTGTGGAGTGAGGGCACACTCTGGGTGCTATCTCGTCCCATGGTATGTGAGAAAACTGTTCTAAGTAGTAATGCATTCGCTTTAGTGCTACAAGCAAATCTGGGAGTCGCGTGTGGGGTAGACCAGATCCACAGATTCTCCACTAGTGACAGTGCGGAGATAAGACCACCTGATAACGCGTTTGATCCGTGCCACCCCTGCCTCCACGCTACGACGCGTTTGTCTAGAACTTTTGAGCGTCCAAAGCAATGAATCGCTGTGAGGCTGCAGGTACTCGTTCCTATACTCCGTTTCCGAAGGGCTACGCGCTCGACTTTTCCGCGAGAAAGGCTCTTCCGCACCACCCACCCGCCCCACAGCCACGACAATCCCAACACCATCTCAACCATGGAGGGCCCCGCGAAGCCCAAGCTACCAGACGCGTACGCGGACCTCGAAGTGAGCCCAGCAGCCTCTAGTGCCGAGATCAAGACCGCCTTCCACCGCCTCGCTCTCCTCCATCATCCCGACAAGAAGGCGCCAGGCGAAGCTGTCGATGCGGCCGACTTCCGACGAATCCAAGAAGCCTACGACATCCTGAGGGATCCGAAAGGCAAAGCGCGCTACGATCAGTCGTATAGCAGTATACGGACACAATGGGACACGTACAGGAGGGAACATGCCGAATACATGCGGAACCCGAATGCATGGCGGCAGAAGCAATCCGCAGAGAGGATTCGTGCTCAGGCCGAATCGGATCGCCGGGCTGCGGCCATGCGAAGGGCGGCGCAGGAGCAGGCGTGGGCAGAGGCAGAGGCTTTCTACGAGGACGAATACGAGTACGAGTACGACGACGATAGTGATTACGAATACTACTCCAGCGGTTATGGCCCTAGCTTTGGTGGTGGTGGCTTTGGCCGTGGCTTTGAAGGCTTTGACAGCTACGACCCGGAGGAAATCCTCTTGGCAGAGTTGCTCCGACGGCGCGAGAACTTCGAAGCTGCGGCTAGACGTAACGCTGAAGAGAGGGCCAGGAAATCGGCAATCGAGGACATCAATAAGCAATGTATCGAGCGACTGAAGAAGGCGGCTGCGGCTCGACAAGCAGAGAGCGATGGTATACGTATCGTCGACCCAGAGAGGAAGCGCGCCATGGCGCAATCATGGGTCATAGGCTTGCAACGCGATTATGATTCAGAACTCCGGAAGGCTGGGTTACGTCCCGACGACGACTCCGTTATGGATCTAGGGTGGGAACGGAAAAGGGGCAGACAAACTTGCCTGTTCTGCGCTGCTCACGTACAGGAATACAGTTATCGCTGTCCAAGTGGCGGAGCTGTTGCCTGCCGGGGCTGCAAGAAGAAGATCGAAGCGTCATCCCCAATTCACCCGTTCAATTTCCACGGCACCGGCGCGGCGACAAAGAAGGGGAATGGGAAGAAAGGCAAGGGCGGAAAGAAGACTCAACGCCACTCTGATCTGGAAGGATCCGACTCGGTTGAGCGAGACCAGCACGAGGAGCAAACCAATGGAGAAGAAGCAGAGCACCCACAAAACGCGGAAGAGGAGGCCGCAAAGCGGACAGCGGAAGAGCTTGCGCGTAAGCAAGAAGCCGAGCGACAGAAACAGGAGCGCAAAGCCGAGGCGGCGCGGCGAAAAGCAGAGCGTGAAGAGCAGGCCAAGCTCGCTCGAGAAGCTGCAGAGAAGGCTGCGCAGGAAAAGGCGACAAAAGAGAAAGCCGCAGCGGCGAAAGCTGCACGAGAGCTCGCAGCTGCGCAAGAAGCTGCCCGTCTAGTAGCGGAAAAGAAGAAGGAAGCTCGTGAGCAGGAGGCAAGGGAGAAGAAGGCCGCTCGGAAGAAAGCCGCTAAAGAGAGGGCCGCTCTTGAGAAGGCGGCACAAAAGAAGGTTGCTGAGGAGAAGACCCCAGGTGAACACGAAGTCCAAGAACAGAACGGCTCCGAGCAGGACGCTCAGAAATCCCGTGAGGTTGCCGAGGAAGAGGCAACTCGAAAGGCTGAAAAAGAAGCGAAAGCGAAGATCAAACATGAGGCAAAAGAGCGTGCTGCGCTCGATGCAAGGGAGCGTGAAATACGAGAAGCTGAAGAATACGCAGCACACGAGGCCCCAGTGCTTGCAGCACACGAGGCTCAAGAACAGGCGGAACTTGAAGCCAAAGAACGAGAGGCCGACATACTCGCAGCACAGGAGGCCAACTTTCGCGCCGAACTGGGGGCAAAAGAGACGGCAGAACGCGAGGCCAGGGAAATGTTAGAGCGCGTGGCCAGAGAGACAGTGGAACGTGTTACTAGGGAGACTATAGAACGTGTCACTAAGGAGACGATCGAGCGTCTCAACAGGGAAATGGCAGAGCGTGACGCAAAGGCTGCTGCAGAACAACAAGCCGAAGCCTTCGCAGAAGCAGGCAATGCGAACGGGTACGAGAACGTAGAGCAGGTGTTGGAACCCTCGTCAACGAACACGCCGTCCCTCGAGCCCTCGGTCGCCACCGATTCAGCAATTTCCAAGAAGACCAAGAAGAAGGCGACTCGTCCACCAGCCACCTGCTACACCTGTAACGAGCAAGGCCATTTCGCCCGCGACTGTCCCATGAAGCCTGTCGAAGCCACCGCCGATAATAAACCCCAACCTCACGCTGGTATAGGGCCTGCGCGGAAGATTGAGGTGACTAGTAAACCGCCGCCACCAACACCTGCACCCGCAAAGGTTGTGGTTAAGCTTCCAGTCCCTCGTAAATCCAAGGCAAAAGAGGTTACGAACGACACCACTCCTGTGACCCGCGAGACCACTGCACCTTTTACGAACGCGTCGACTCAACAGTCTGCTAAACCAATCAGAGCGCCAAAGAAGAAAGCTTTACGTCCAGCGCCTCCGGAGGGCCAAGGTGTCAATAGCGTCCCTACTTTAATTGATCAACCCAGCATTCTACCTCCGACCAACGGTACCGCGAACGTGTCTTTTTCCGAGCACGCAAGCAAGCCAGCCAAGAAGCCGAAAGTGAAAAGCCCGTTGGCTTGTTATGTTTGCAAAGAGGTAGGACACAAAGCGAAGAGCTGCCCTGCACAGCATGAAGGACACATGTTCGATGTTGTCATGTAAAGGCATCGCCTCGTTACCACGCGGGATATAAAGTGCTCTGTACGGCGTTGAATCCATGGAATTGATTTAATGATACCCCATAGCGATGTATTGTCAAACAAGAATGAACACCATAACTAGCACAACAACATGAATGCCCTCTTAGAGCTTCCCACTAAAACAATATAAAAGACAAGTCCCACCACCATCTCACTTTCTACAACTCATTCCTCTCACTCTTCGCCTTAACCTTCAACGCCTCCACCGTAAACCTAACCTCCTTCTCCCCCGTATTCGTATGCCCAACCTTCCCAATCACCGCCCCATCCCTCGGCTCATTCGAATAACTCTCCAACCCATCAAACACACCCTCACACCCCGCCTCCTCAGCATCATCAACCCACAACGGCAAAATCGGGTAAATCGCGCCCGGCGCAAAAAACACCATATCATCCTGCACACTATAATGCCTCTGCAGCATCTCAGTCTTCAACCACTCCCGCACTTTATACGGCACATCCGCCATGTTCATCTGTATGAGTTCGCGGCCCGTGCCGTGGACGTCGATGCCGCCCCAGGACCCCGCGTAGAGCTGCTTGTTGTAGAAGACTTTTAGTTGGGGGGCGGCGTCTTTTAGGTCGGGGTAGAGTTCGTTGAGCTTGTAGATTCTGGCGTTGTAGGTGTTTTTGGAGTGGCAGTGTTGGGTGTAGGGTTGCAGGGTTGTGGTGTCCCATTGGGCGGTCCAGAGGGCGCCTACGGGCGTGGGCTCGTCGGCGGCGGGTGTGGAGGAGGGGGGTGAGTCGTCTGAGTTGGCGTAGGCGGTTGCTGCGAGGAGCGCTGGGGGTAGGAGCGAGAAGAATCGCATGTTGCTATCAATTGAGGGTCTATATGCCGAAGTGGAATGATGCCAGACGATCTGAGGATGCAGTCGTAGAGGTTACGGAGTCTCAATTGCGTGTAGAGCCCGAAAGCTATCACAGCCCAATCCCAGCTATATATTGTATCATCCAATTTTCATGCGTTCTGTCCTTTTCACTTCGCGCGAGGTCCCATGACGTCTCCGCGTTGATGTTCCGCTTTCCATATTAAGGGCCAGGGATGTTAGCGACGCGACAGGAACGCGATAGATTAAAAGAACACGGTGGAGGGACGCTGTGATGCTGATCGGCATGAAGTTCGCCGAGAAACCGCCCAGTACAATTCGTTTCGTGACTCGATGCCTGTGCTGCAGAATGGCGGAGGTTGGAGTGTGGGGGAACGCGGGGTGACGACTGTCGCCGGAGATGTAGCGTCTGCACGTGCAGAAGGGCTGAGCAACGCCGCTTGTCTAGATGAGACAGAATTCTTGCTCTTGTCGTTTGCCTTCTTCGACTTCCTTTATGAGCTCGCCGTTCATGATGCTGTCGACATAGGCTTCGCCTAGCATGAGATATTTGTCGCCTTTTGGTCGCAGCACATATGGCGTGGCACCCCCATAGAGTACCACGACGATATCTCCCTCACGCATACATGCTGGGCCAATACCGTAGTCTTTACCTGATGTCCAAAAGAAGCGACGGTTCCGGATGCATGTTCGAAGCACCCCATGGTATTGAATTGCGTCGTCACGCAAATTATCAAAGTCCGCGGTTGGTGTACGGTACCATTCAACGTAGTGTCTAAATGCTTCGTAGTAGGCGCAACGTGATTCATCATCAAGCATGATGAGAGGATAGTGTATCGTTCTAGCACCAGCAGTCAGTGTCCGAGCTAGCACTGGCAAAGTTATGTCGCTCATGGGGTCGTTCCAATCGATTTCTTCGTAAACCTCGACGATCTGATGATACTTTTGAAGTCCATCAGACCTTAAGCTAGGGACAATGGGTATGTACATGACATCATCGCATGTCGTTACTTTGGCGTACAAGATGCCGGTGAGGCATAATTGCTCACCCCCAGGACTTTTTGTAACGACGATCCGGGCTTCGCGTCCGCTACAAGCGCCAGGCTCAGGAGTCATATCTGAGTGACCTATCGGAAAAACGGCACTAGGAAGATCCCAGTGTGGTGCCCATGACCGGTATTCGTCATCTCCATCGTAATTTGCATGGTGTTGTACGTGCGAAAAGACCTGTAGATGCTTGGTACTAGTGATGGTATGCAATGCCGTATCGGTAAAAACTCGTGCAGCACTCTTCTCGTAGTCCGGCACCATTGAAATACCGCCTGCCTCAGATCTGACAAGACTAATCAGACCATAAACCTTGTCCCTTGGATCTGTTGATTGGAAATCTCGGAAGTCTGATAATGTTCTGAGAAGTGAATAACTACCAGTATTGGACTCGAAGATTGTGTTCACGTTCGCTACAAAGATCTCTTCGAATAATTTTCTTGAGGCTTCATCGCCGTCAAATCTCGTCCTAAACATCCATGACGATGTTAAGCCGACCTCGGCCCAGGGTAGATATTGCTCGCCCCAGACTAATAGAGCATCTTGTGCTAACTTGATTTCCTGTCTACACCAGACTCTTGAGAACAACGGGTGTCCGAATAGATTTGCAAGACTCCTGCGTATTTTGAGTGTGAAGATGTCCGATGTGACTTCTACTGCTTTGTGGATTTCAATATCATCCAGACTTATATCATGTTCTGAGCTAAACTCTCGACATGCGTTCGCGACCAACCTGCAACACTCAAAAGCTTCTCTGATGACGCTCTCATCACCGTGACCGAGCCAAACGTTGACCTTCATTGCCTGGGAATAGATCCTGCTCATCAGAGGTACTTGGTGGCTCTTTTCTTCGTTGTCGTCCTGATTAATACAAAGAGCGTCGGCCCAGATTAGTAGCGTGGTATCTTCAAGCCTCAGCCTTGCAAGTGCATGAGCAAGTTGTGGTCGGACCTTGAGACGCTGACCGTTGCATACGATCGTGACACTTGGCGAACCAGTTCCCAAACGTACGATAGTGCGTTGTAGACAGGTGTGTCATCGAGATTGATAAGCTTGAGTTCGCATTCCAATCGTCTAGATGGTTTGGAAGAAGGTCGGATATGGAGAACACGGATCTGATTTCCAGAACGTAGTCTCTCGGCGTAGATTGAAGAGGCTGACCCGCTACCTGAGGCATTCGATGTAGCCTGTGGATGCCTCGAGAAGGCTGAGCGGACGTCTTGCCCCAGACGCCTGAGCGTAGCCAAGCCGCGAACCCGATGATGCTGTATGTCGGAAGGCATCATGGCCAACGAGAAGATCGTACACGATCCAAGGGTATGATATATGTGGTGCGGTGATAGATAGCGGGGTAGAGTTCGACGTCAGATGGAAGGAAGGCATCACCACGCTAGTAGGATGGCTTACACCTGGGCGTTCGACCCCACTAGAAGCTTGCCTCACAGCCTTGCACAGCGGCCCCAACATGAACATGTAATAAGTGGCATGAGAACGCGTCCGTTTGAGAATTCTATTATGAGCACTACGGCTAATTGAAAGTGTTTCGCCACTCAAGTCTAAGTTTGGTAATCCCAAATTCTCTTCCTCATAACTAACCACCATACGTCTCGTATCTAGACCTTGGTATTCCTCGCAAGTGGCTTGAGTCCCGGCAGCGCAACAACAATGATTGAGAGAGTCATCTCCACCATACTTAAAGGATCTGAAAGAGACAATGTTAGCCTGGTTGTCGCGCACAGAACATGTAGCACACAGAACGGCGAACTTACAAACGAGGTTTTCCTGCCCTGTTCCAATCTTAAGGCAGGCGAATCGCACAATGCTCGAAGCAATAGTGAGCGCACCGAGCGCGAATGTAAGACCAACACCGGCCGATGACCTCAACACACCCTTCATCAGGAGCACAACAGGAACCGCGTAGACCGCGAGGTAGCAAGCCAAGTTCAGGGTAAAGTTCAAGATGAACGGCTCTGGCGCGTAGAAGACGGAGCATGCGCCCTCTTCCTGAGACCACTGGACGGAAACAGGTGTGCCGCAGAAGAAGGTATCGTCGAAGAGGATAGTCAGGTAGCTCGCAACGACAAAAGCCGTGATACCGAAGAGCATCTTGCGCAGTCCCGGGTGACCAGCAAGGTTGAAGAACGCCCAGTAGAAAGCCAGCATGCTGAGTTTGGGGAAACCCATTCCGACATCGTAGAAGTAGTTCGAGGCGAACGAGATCTGCGCAACGTGTTAGACGCGCACCGAGTGTGACGATCAAAAGAACAACTCACCTTCGACAGCTTCTCCGACGTCTCATACTCATCCAGCACACCCATCTGATACGTGAGTGTATCGCAAATGATCAACCCCAACGCAACCAACGCAGAAGCCAACAACAGATAATCCGACGCGTCCAACCTCGAGCGCAGACGAAACAAGCGCGTGTACATGCGCGCCGCGACGAAACAGTATGCGAAGATCAGGAGGATCCATTCTGAGATCTATCACAATTGTGGCAAGTCAGCACCGTGTTTCCTCTTCGTAGATCAGTTTGTTGTATCACCAACTAACTTACCATGCAGTCTTTCCCGTCAATGTAGTGTGCCATCTTCGCTGCTCCTGTGGTGTGACAGCGACAGTCACGAAACAGTCAGGATAAAAGCCGATGGATAGATAGTTGCGCCGCACTCGCTTCAATCAGCGTACTGCAAGGAGTATGTATATTGAGCCAATTCCCATAGCATGCAGGGTACTATATTCTGCCGCGCTTCCATTATGCCATAGCTTCTAAGGGTACGTCTGGGCGAAGAATTCTACCGCCTATCATGCGAAACTGGGGTCGGACTTCTGCCCTCGAATTGTCGAATCGCATGGCAATGGGTGAGCCCTGCATGCAGGCGCGCGGAAGTTTGCCTGGAATAGAGGCGTTCTGGCTGCCGTGTTAGATGGGCTGATTCCAACTGTGATCCTTGCGCTTTACACACGGCTGTACCGTGTCGGTGGGTTCGGTCTGTGGTGGGAGGGGGTCTTCAGGCGCATGGGACGAGCGTGTGAGGTCTTATTTCCTGGGTTGTGCAACGGATATCTGATTGAGCATCAAGGCTGTGTAACCTCTGATTCGTGGTTATGTTTTGTTCGGCCCTTCGCTGCTGATAAGCTTGGTCAAGCATCGTAGCTTCCTTTGGTGTTCGGTTAGGCGAACCGGTGGATGAATTTTGCCAAACGAGGCCTCCCGCATGCAGACCCTTCGGCCAATGCCGATCCACAGCTTCGACGGCAGCAATGCGGCACAGTCAAGAGTATTTGCAAAGGTGATTGAAACTCACGGAGCCATGGACTATTGCGGCTCGGCTGGAAGAATATACCGCTCGGCGGCGTTTTGGTGGCGTGTGCGGTCCGCAGTGGGCGGGATGGTAGCGCAATCATTCCGGGTTGATGCGAGTGGTCAGCCCAACGGCAAGGGTCTATTAAGTAACACTACAATGTTGAGATGACCCGGCTGCTAAACCTCGTATAGACAGATTTTGTTCAATCCTTCGAATAAATTTTGCTTTTGCTGCTATTAGCGACTAGTTACATCTAAATGGAATTGACTCCTGAACCACCCTCATGGGTACTTGGCAGAAATCTCGTGTTCCTCATCAGGCGACTTTGAAAACTGCACGCTAACGCGGCGCGTCTCGTAGATGACATCTTTCCTTGACATGGTGTTCAGCTCTACTTCGCTGCCCGAGTCTTCATCTGTATGCACGCGGGCGGTGTGCTTGCCTCTCCTGGAAGGTCGCAAAAAGTTGTGCGACCCGGATGCTGGTGTTTGGTGTCCATATGTGCGAGATCCAGAAGAGTGCGATTTCTTGTTTGAGGAGAAGAGGCTGCCGCGTCGTAGGAAAGATCTCATCGACGGCAATGAGACTACCATGATGGCGACGGCCATTTCGGTCATGGAGAGGACGTCTATACATGTGTTAGCGATAGTTCAAGTTGTGTTTGACTGCATGCACTTACAGACGTTGGTCCAGGCATATATGACCTCTATCGTTGCGAACCGAAGCACACTCATTGCTATCGTGACGATACCAAGTGAGAATGTTGCTACAAGACCCCAGATCTGGCGACGCCGGAGCTGTAGTGAACGAAGTAAGGGGAATGGCAACGCGAAGACTGTGGTCCGAAGTTAGTGATTCATGCGCTCCCTCAATGTCATAGGATTACTTACTGAACACGTCGGAGGTGATGTTAAGGCTCCAGTCGATCCTGAAAACCTCTTTGGAGCTGAAGGTATTACAGGCTGCCTCATCGGAGGACCAATTCGAAGAGACCTGGCGCCCGCACCAGAAAGTGTCGAGAAAGAATGTCGATACCATGGCACTTGCAGTGAAAAGGGTCACTGCGTAAAGTGCTTTTCGCAACCACGGCATCGTCGGAGGGATGAGCCTATAGTATAGCGCGAGGATTGCCAACTTTGGCCAGTAGATGCCAGTGTCGTAGAATGCATTGCCGGCGAATTGCACCTTCTTGAGAGCGATCACACGAGCTGTCGATGCCTCTGCATCATCCGTCATGCCACCCCATATGTACGTCAGGTAGTCGGTGACGAAAAGGCCAATGGCATCCAGGATAGACGCTATCAAGAGACTGTCGCTAACGGTAGGATACTGTCGTTGTAAAAGGCGGGGGACCAGTCGACCAGAAGCCAAGAATATGGCCAAGGCCATAAGGGTCGCCTCGATGGGCTTTGCAGATACGTTAGCAGAGTCATATCAGAATAGAAAAGTACATGGAACATACAATTACAGCCTCTGGAGCAACGCTGTTAGACATGATGGAGGGGAAATGGCGAATACACCATGAAGCAGTCGACGACAACCACGCAGAGAGAAAAGGATCAGATAAAAGCTATTATGTAGCGATTCCAAATTCGAGACCATCGCTTGGGTGTATACCAACTGGTAAGACGGACCCGATAACACGTCCGTCTTACCCTCCATGTGGCAAAGGTACCTGATTGCTGCGATCATACCACACTGGCACACCCGATTGCTCGGCTAGCAATTTAGACGGAAGTAATCAGTATGTCTGCATGGCGGGACCTGCAGTCACAGAAATCGTTTGGAAAGACATGGGTATATAGGACAAGACAGGGATCATCGTTGGGCGATATGTGAATGGACGGCGCCGAAACCGAAGGATCGAAGCCGAACCCGATGGAGTGCTGCCGATACTATGCGAGGCTGTATCCTGTGAGTGTTAGTATATGGTTGCTCCGCGCCGGAAAGGATATGGCTCAATGGCGAGGCTGTGATATGCAGGCATTTGACCGTTATTTGTGAAGATCTTTCCTGTTCTGCCGGCCTCAACGTCTTTTCGTGTTTCCAGAACGTGAACGAGGTCGCTTTTTCGGACCTATAATCTCACGGCCAGATGGTGTGACAATCGGGCTGGTGTCGCAATCATGTTGTGCTTTAAAGCTCTTCTTGTGCATCTTCTTCTTCCTCTCGAATTTCTTTGACTTCGCAGACTTTTAATAGCGGCCACATCAGCTGCCGCTCTGTTTCCATCAGCCTTGGGATGATGATCAGTTGTGAAGACGTCCCGACATCGTAGCATCATCACGCCGCAGCATTACAGGTACTCGAAACATGCCCAACAATACCTTCGTGCTTCATCGTTTCAAAAGCAATTCTTCCATCGCGAAGGAAAGGTCGATGTGATTGATGCACCAGGAAACCGTGCCGTAGGCACAGAGATCGCTGGTGTGATGGTTTGGATCACCTTACAGTTGAGGCAAACCCAACGCGCTCGCGCCGCCCTCATCGTGCGCCGAGAAGGGTCAGAACGATGACGCAACATCCATCCCAGGCCTCACCACTACTAAAAGCGATTTTTCCGTCGCGAAGGAAAGGTTGATGCAAACACCAAGAACCGTGCCGTGAGCCCAGAATTCGTCGAGGTAGACACAACGCGCCAGCGCCGCCTCGCCTCGTCGCGCCCGAGCGATGACGTAATACCCAACCCAAGTTTCACCAGCACGAAACGCGAAAACCCAACGCGTAGATCACACCAGCGAAACCTACGCAACAACACCATGCCCTTTAGCCTGCGATCCTTTTTGAAACCCGCATCCTACAACGACAGCGTTTCCTACACCGACAGAGTCCTCGCGCAGATCTTCTCCTGGTGTACCCTCCTCGGCTACATCCTCCTCCCCTCATTCTTTCCACGGCTCAACAGCGTCGACGAATATGCAGGATGCATAGAGTGCGAAGAATACTGGGACTGTTCTGATGTGTACGATAACCTTCCACCTACAGCTATACAGATCCCGGGTTCATTTTATCTCTGTGCCCTAGCCTGCTGCGTAGGTCTACTAGGGTGGTTGTATCTATGGTGGAAATACCAGAGGAAGGTTCAGTGGTTGATAAACTGGGTTTTCTTTCCCGCGTTCGTGAACAGTCTCGGGGGAATCGGTATGGCAGTTAGTAAAGTGGTGAGCGCGCCTGAGGGGCAGTATAGTGTGGTTTTGAAAGTGGCGATGGTTGTGCCGTCGGCTTTGTCGGCGATGGCTGCAGTGTTGGCGTTGTGGTATCATGGTGGTATGTTCCGGATTGCGAAGAGGAAGCAGGAAGTGGATCCTGTGGCTCTGGAGAAGGAAAAGGGACGGGATGAGGAGAGTTAGAATGGGGAATTTTGGTATGGATTGAAATACTGATTTAATAAGTATTGGGTATCAAGAAATGAATGCCGTCAATCATGGAAATCTCATCGCGACGCATATCAAGCATCCTTACCCTCCTCCTGATTCCCCCGAAACATCTTAAGTCTCCACTTCTGTGTACTCCCCGCATGCGTGATAGCCTTGTACATGTTGAAGAGAAAGATGCCGATAAAGACGATTGTAACGAATGCCAGTACGACAACCACGGATATCTGGAGAGAGTCAGCTACCACAACGTTCCATCTCGTGCGACGCGAGTACGTACCATGCTGAAAACAACGAAGTAATAAGTGGCTTTAAGGAAATGGTGATTTTCTTTCAGTTCGTCCAGACCCACTCCAACTTGCATGGCGGATAGAACCAGACTAAAGAACACGAACACGATGAGGATCCAGGAGAAGTTTCGTTGGAAGAAGATTACGTAGCGATTGTATCCGTACCTGTTTGAGGTGTGTTAGCAGATGAACCTACCCAAGCGTTTGCTTTCAATGGACAAGAGATAGACTCACAGATACCCTCGAACGAAATGCGTATGCGCATAACGTGTCCGATAGATGCTGTTGATTCTTCCCAATCTGAGATCACCGAACTGGTACCGTTTGTTGACTTGCTGCAGCGTGTTGATATCCACATGGCCCATGAAATCCCTCACGAAAGCTTTCCACCAGTGCCATGTGACAAAGCTCGGTAGAAGCGTGTACTCGTGCGCGATCTTCAAGTCCAGCGGTGTAGTGATGAGCCACACATAGCTTACCAGAAACCCAGCCGCACTCTCCCACAGGCCTTTTGCTGTCTCGTCATCAGGATCCGCATCCGCAGGCTTGCAGATGTAATCTTGCCAGAACTCATAGCTGAGCATCCATTCCGGCAACGGCTTGACTATAAGCTTGGTCGAGTACTTCAGCAGATGTAAATCCATTTGTTGTGTGCCTAGCACTTCCATGCCCAGCATCGTGTATCTGTGCAATGGCCTGGCGCGCATGGGCCGGCCTGCCATCCATAGGTGTCCGTGTATGCGGTTCAAGCGAGAGAGATCGAGGTCGTATAAGAGGAACTGACGGGGGTCGTCGTTGGCGAGGTATGCTTCGTTGTTCTTGCCGCTTATAGTGGGAAGGGACTCTTCTGCCGTGAGCGGTATTGCTATGACCGAGTCGAGCACGGGCTCACGCGGTTGGGGGCCCGTCGTGGTCCGACCCAGGCTGGTAGTAATATGACCATTCTGATGCGCGGTGTCGGATGGCGATGTGGGACTACTGAGTGTGGCAGCGGTAGCGGTTGGGGGTGGGATGGGACGGGGAGAGAAGGGCGGCGTCAGAGCGGTGGTCTGGTACTTGTAAGCATTCGTTCAGCGTATGTCAATGCTGTCATACACCTAACGTCTGTAGCGTGATCTTATCAGCCATACTGTCCATTAGCGATAGGATAGTGGGTTATGATAAGAGTGAAGTGCGGCGCGGTGCTCTATATGACGCTTGACGCCGACAAGCCTGCTGCGGCTGTCGCACGAGGCTCATAGATGCAGGCACACCTGCGCGCATCAGGCAGGCACCTCATGACGCAGGGAGGCTTCAACTGCGCCTTCTCGACGGCGCGCGGGAGCTACGGACTGCAATGTGGGGGCTGAAGGCGGGGGCTAGACTGCCTCGAGCTGAAGTTTGGCCCACGGACGCAGATGTGCCATGGGGGTTCCATTGGTGAGCGGCTTCGTCAACACTATTAATAGTAGCGAACAGGTACCGAGCCACCACCACGAGAGGAGGCGCGATCTAGTTGTCAATCTCACTCGGTTCAATGTCTCTCGTCATGTCACAAATCTGAGCATAGCATGAGGAGCATTACATATTATCATACTTCAGTTATTAGAGTCAAAACGCAACCCCAGTGTGTACAAAAACACAAAAGCTACTCAATTTGAATTGCCTAAGTTTCTTCCTAGTTGTTCTGTGTCTGCTCGCCATGTCATCAAGAGTGCCCAATTACCGTAACGCCACCTTCTAATGCAGTTTTGGATATCATTGAAGCCCTCCCATCTCATCGCATTGACCAAATCACTTGCAGTAGTTTGCAGGAAAGCTGCCCTGCTTTCCATTAACTTCACCCTGCCACCAGTCCTGCGAGCTTTGCGTCTTCTTGACCACGCGAATTCGGTCGCCTTCTTTGAAATGCAGATCGCCATCCGTGAGACTGTCAAAATCGTACATGGCTGTCACGTACTCGTACTGGAAAGATGCTATCTTCTTCGGTGGCGGTGGGGGCGGCTTCTTTTTCCCTGCGGCTGGATTAGGCGACGAGGGATAGCCAGTTGGAGTTGACCCGTTCGAGGCAGAGGGTATCTTGTTGTTGTTGAAGTAAGAATCACCGTTGGTTCCATTTGAGTAAGAGGAAGCCTGGGATGTAGACGAGAGACGGCGGTCATACATACCCTGCCCAGCGCTCAGATGCGGTGAACCGCCGATCTTGGGCTTTGAAGCGCTGAGAGAGCTGTATGAGGGCTTATTAGAGAGGCTTATGGGCGGGCCATTCTCGGAGGTCGATGACAAGGTCTGGGATGGTCGCGGGGGTCTTCCGCCTCCTGTGATGGTGGGCACACTGTCGCTGCTGCTGACTCTCCGACCAGGCATGACCTTATTCCGAATGCCCAAGCCTGTCAACGTCTCTCCCTTATCTGGTAGTCTCATTGGCAAATGGACCGCCTTGCCCGTCTTCAGCAGGCCCAGGCTGGTCTCCATTTCCTGGCGCAGTGGTGTAAAGTTGGAGTCCCATAGTGGGATAACTTCCTCTGGCTCTGGTGGTGGATCGGGGTATCCTTGCTCGTGTGAGTACTGGTGTAGTACAGTGTACAAGTTTCCAATCAGGTTGTTTTGCAGCACGATCTGGTTCGCGAGGAGATGTGGTAGAATGGAGAAGGTTGCGGCATTCAGGCGTGGCAGGCGGTCTCGGAGGTTCTCGTCGGCGAGTTGGTATGCGTGTGTGGAGCGCTCGAGATCGACTTCGTGTTTGGCAAGAGCGCTGTTCTCGCGTTCCGAGCGCGTCTTCTTGGCCTGAAGGGTTTCGCAGCGGCTTTTGTAGCGCTCATAGTCGACCTGCAATGGCGTGGTCAGCATGGCTCACAGCGTGGTCTATAGGCTGACTGACCTTTGCATCCTCTCGCTTCTTGATAGCCTTTTCCATGGGCTTCAAGGCGTCGCGAGCCAGCTTCGCTGGGATGACCAATTTCCTGTCAATGTCCTTGACTTCCTCCATCATGTCGGTCTTCAGCTCGGAAAAGGCCTCGTGTAGGCCATGGACACGCTCCAGGACCGCAGGTGGGGTTTCGGCATGGGCATGGGTGCTGTTGGAGCCTTCGCCGCCGAGTGGTTTGAAGATGGCGTATATGAGCTCGACCGACGTGAGTTGGTGGTTGAGGATGTTGGTCCACGCGTCGCGCCATTGCTTCGCTGACGCTTCGAGCTGAGAGGGGGGTTAGTTGGAGATTCAATGCCAACGTGTATACTCGACTCGTGTGCCACACATAGCATGCATAGCAATCGATTGACGTGGGTGGTTGGAACTGGATGTGATGGGTTTGGATGGCTGGCCCCACTAGTTCATAGGACCGAGCAATGTGAGATGTTAAGCCACACCGGACGTACCTTTTCCAACATAACCTGCGAGTCGGTGAAGTCCTTCAGCATGGCCTCGACATCGGCCTCGTTGGGCGTCCTCGTAAGGAAACGCCCGGTAATCCTCTGCATGCGCTGCATCTTGCGATGTGGTGGCAGCTATCGTGTGCGACGCAGGCCTGAGGTAAGAAGGACAGAATAATACGAGTTATGGGCGGAGGGCAGTAGGTAATGCTTGCGCGTCGACTAGCGGTGGCTGTGCTCACTGCTGTGTGTTAATTGAGGTGAGGGTAAGCAGGGGTACCGAAGGGCCCCGCACCAGGTTGTCGCGACAATTCGCTGGCCGCTTAGACCGATTGGTTGTCTAAAGTGGAGTGTGAAAGCCTCGCGGGGAGGAGTGATTTGCTAGGTCCCCTCCTCGACGCGGGAAGCGAATTCAAGATTGCGGTTACACCTGATGCCCGCGTTTGGTACCGTCAGCTGTAGACCGGACGGCATCATGGTGCGAGGCCACCCAGCGTTGGGCCGCCGGGTACGAAGACGTGTCATGACTGAAGTGGAAAAGCTTGGGAAAACGCGTACCCCTGGTGTATTTCCGGTGAAAGCTCAAGGGCATTAGGGCCTTAGGGCTGGGTAGCCGCTGCCGTAGTCTGCAGGCGCTAAACCACGTGCTCGCGCGCGGAACAGCAGGCGCGGTTTGTTCCGCCCAGGCGCGTCACCGTCACATCTCTCGACCTTCACCCTCACGACGACCCCGCCCTATGCCGCCCATGCACGTCCCGACGCGTCTCGACCGTATACTCACGCGATGACGGCACCTCTTCGTAATACCCAGCATGCCTCAGCCATAGCCGCGATCACCGCCTCCCAGAACAGCGCGCCAGTGGCAGAATTTCGTTGCCTCTATACACAAGACGTCAAGAGGAAGCAGAAGCGGTGGCAGGATGGCTATCTGAAGTTTCATACCTTCAATAGCCGGGTCATGGTATATGACCAGGCAAGGAATTTTCTCGGAGACACCTATCACAAAGACAGCAACGAGCTGCAGGAAGGAGACGAACTCAGCCTCAACAATGGCGCTCTAGTAGAGGTCGCCGAGGCCATGGGCATCACACATACCGATCTGACCCAACTACTTGAGAAGAAAACGAAAGATCAGCCACCCCGCCCGACCGCTCCTTCCCAGCCGAAACCGTTCCAGAGACCATCGTCAGTGGCACCGACCAATGCCCAGCGAAGCGCATCGCAACTACGTCACAAATCGCTCAATACACTGCTTGGGACACCGAAAGGGCCAATTGGAAAGGCTCAGCCCATGAAATCTCCATACGAGGCTCGCAAGGAAAAGGAGAATGAGCTGGTTGAGGAACCTACCCCGAAAAGACAAAAGACTGGCCAGCCACGCACAAACTGGAGAGCATCTAGCCCAGTCCAAGAAGACAGCCCCATAGCGAAGAGAGACTCGGCTGTACAAGTACAACCGCCAGACACAGCGAATGCTCGGAAACCTGCGAAATTCATACCGCCGACAGCGACTGTCATCATGATAGAGTCCGAGTCCGATCCTCACCCTGCGGACTTGTCCGATGTCACTCTCCCGAGCACACCCCCGAAACTTGCCAGAGCGAGAGCACGATCTAGCGCACTTCATACCCCAGCACCACAGCCCGCTGTACCTCAGCAACCGCCCGTACAAACCCCACGAATACCCAAAGGCAAGGTGCCAGTACCCAGTGTACGAGCATTGGAGACTCCGAAGCAAAGAGCGCCACCATCTTCACCTCCAGTGAGCGCCTCAAATCGCCTGACGAACGTCGACTTCGCGTTACAACCAACAAAGCAGCCACCCAAAGACCCCACTCCGCCACCACCTTCGCCTCCTCCTAACCGCAAAGCGAAATCTCTTCGATTGTCGGCGGGTGTAAAGCGCGGAACCTTGCTGTGTCAGTCGCTGCCTCAGAAGACCATAAGGGCAGCTAGTGAGGCCAGAACGACTAGTTCCAATGTTAGAGCTCGACCGGTATCACGCGTCACGAGCAAGGAGCCATCACCTGCAATATCACAGAACAGTAATCCGCCACAAGAGGTCGCCTCTGCAGCGTCGAAACGGGTGGCTAAAGCCAAGCGAAGAAATACAGAGGCACAGGATGGTGACAGTCTCGCTCCAAAGAGACCCAGAGTCTCCAGATCTCCCCCGCTGCCATCACCGAGTGTTCTCGAAGATCCAGAAGTTATACGTGGCCTCATGGACCAGCAACTAATAATTCCCTCGTCTCCACCTCAGCCTCAGTCCGTATTCTCTCCTTCAGAGACAGTCTCCGAACCCAAGCCTACCACTACCAAAAATCTGGCAGACAAGACACCGATTGAACCGCCATCTAAAGGTCAACCTACAAAGTCGAAATCTCCTCCACGAGACAAGACTGTCCGAAAAGCACAGCCAAGAAGCAACATTGTGGATAAGTCTGCATCAACGCGCAAGGCCCCATCGCCACCTATACCCGTCCTTGATCCACCGATATCAGCATCACGAGACGTCTCGCCAGCGCATACTGAAGCCTCTGAAACACAATCACGCACCTCATCAACTTCGCCGCGCAAAGTCCCACTCTCAACCGGCGGTTTCCCTAAGCGGCCACCGAAGCGATCCAAGAAGCAATCAGCCGCAACGCCCTTAGTACAGGAGGAACCAGCTCCAGCCCCTCCAAATGAGTCTGTACCTCTTCCGCCGCATCCTCTCCGAGCGAACAAGAAAGGTCCCATGATGAGCACAACGGAACTCGCATCTCTCCTCCAAAAGC